TGCTTTTCTTCAGTTCTCTCTCCTGCATCTGTCCTGGGGAAGGAGGGAGAGGCAGATGCATCTTCACTGTGATTTTAGGACATGCAAATGAGCAATAAGGCCTGATGTAATGCACGGACTCCCATTTTGCATAATCCATTCAGTGAAGCTTCCTTGCACGGTTGGATCAAGGGCTAGTATACTTCTCGAGTACCCCAGCACTGATAGCCTCCTGTTGGCCTCCTGATGCAACCTAGTGATAGCCCTTGAGCCCTGCCTGTTCATCTTCCTCTTGCTTAGGCCTGGGGAACAGTGGTTTTTAGAATGAGAAGCAGCAGAAGTTTCCATCTGCTTGCTCATTGCCTCTCCGCTGGGCAAGCAAGCAGATGATGACGACGAGGAAATGAAACTTCAGCAACAATGGATAACAATACTGGGGTGAGGGGCATTGGGGTTTTTGCCCAATTGTCCTCCAGAACCTGAAGCAGGTACTGTCAGTTGGGGTGGTGATCATGCTTTGTAGGCCAATCAATGGTGTTTTTTTTTTAGTTAGTTTGTTGATCAAGCACATCATTGGCATTTAAACCACTGCAAGAAAGGCTCTTGTAAAGTAAATGAATTCAAGAGAAAGGAGATGCTTTAGTAATATGTAATGGGGGCATGGGAAGGGGTTTGGGCAGTAGTTCTTTTTATGGAGGAAAAAAAATGTCACACATTTGATCTTATTTTAATCTGCACAGTGCTGGAGGGTACCTCTGATAATCTGAAAGACATGGCACAAACTCCTTGCGAATTGTGCATTTTCCTGCCTGTCAAGTGAAGTGTGGGGGCGGGGCATAAGAAAAGCTTTCAGTGCACTGCCATCATGTTGGTCATCATTCTAAGAGAAAGAGGAGAGATGGCCCTCCAAAGTGTGTCTCGAGCCAGAATTCAGAATTCTTCATTTTGTAATATTAATTTAGTTTCGTAAAACCTAAAATGAGCCAGTGTTTCAGTCTAAAATTACCTCTCTGTTGTTTCATCCAATAACTGAGAGAATTTGAAGCTTGATCATCTGGTACACAAAGCATTCAACAGATGCTTTAGAAATGAGATGGAGGACAGACATGCAAGGTGAGTTTCAGAGGGTAGCAGAATGCGCAAAGCTCCATATTCTTGCAATTGCAGGGGCAAGAAGATGGGATGGTTGACTACCTAGGTCCATTTTCTGTTGACACATTCATGCTGGACTGGCACATCTGGCTTTTCCCCATCTCCTCCGAAGTTGATCTTGGTCGCTACTTGCTCCTTAAGAATTATATCCTAAGCCTTTCACCCTTTCCCTGTGGCATCTTCATTGCTACATCATTAACTGATGCACCATCAATGCATTTCATTACAGTCTCTGTCCTTGCTCTCTGTGCTGATCTCAGACACAGATACAACCCAGCTAGGTGGTATTTAACTTCTGTGCAGCTTAAAAGAAGGGGAAATGGCTAAATCATTCCAAGAGCTAGCGTATTTGTCTCTCTCCATTTTCTTGCCCTCCAGTCATGCAAAAAAATATTTATTTAGGAACAGTTGTTGGGTGGCTGTTGTTCAGAAAGCGACCAGAACTGATTCCGGATTTTGAGCTAAGTCTGCATTGCTTCTCTTTGGGAAAGAAAACTCTGGTCTGGAGTAGAAATGTGAGAATAGGCAAAATGGAGGCTAGTTGAATTTACAGACAGAAACTCTGGATTACATCCTTGTTCTGACTTGTATACATATTAGATTATAAGCTTTACTTTTTCTCTTCTCACAATAATTCAATGTGTATTTTGAATTGTACTTTTTTGAGAGGGATTAGAAATGTATGGACTTTGACCTCAGATTGAAATTAAAACTGCATCCAGGTCTGGGCAGGTAGAGTGAATTAAGCAAATTCTGGGAAAAAGTGGAACAGAAAGAAACTTCTCATATGTACCCAATCAGAAGCAGTTCTCTGCAAAGCTTTGCACTAATGACTTTCTTAAAACTATCTGTCTTTGTTTGGGGAAGAGAAATTTCACTGACTCTTCATGACAATGTAATGTGGCAGTTAAAGTATTGGACTGGGGACCACTTAGCCACGAAGCCCACTGTCTGACTTGGAGGTGGTCACTCACTGTCAGCCTATCCTACCTCCAAGGGTTCTTCACAAGAGGAAACAAAGATTTAAATGCCATGTGATAATAATACAACTGTTGTCCTTCCACAGCAGGTTGCAACAGCATCAACTACATTTTGCATGTACCACGCTGAAGATGTGGGTGCTGTGCCAAAGTCTGTCTCCCTTTTTTCTGAAAGTTTTCTTCTCCTATGAAAGAGGCTTCCATTTTTCTGCCTCATTTTATACTTTTTGTTGAATGCATCACACTAGTGGTTTTCAGCTTACTGAATCACTGTCAGGCAGCTAAGGGTGCTGCATCACCGCTGCATCACATCTCTCTCCATTGTGCTGCATCCTCCCTGGCTACCCACACATTGTGATCTGAAAAAAGTCTTTTGGGAAGAATTAACTCAAGATGCCTTCCCCCGGGCTTCCCTTGAAGTGTGGAAGGCTGGCGAGGCTGGCAGCTGCTGGAGAGAAGATTGTACAAAGAAAAACAGGACACTCTACACCCACCTCGGTAAGGTAAACAAGTACAAGAACCCCCAACTCAAATGACAATTTCTCTAGATCTTTCTTCACCTTTGACTTTCTTTTTGAAAGCAAATCATTTTCTATCTGGATGAATAAGTATGGTCAAAAAGCAAGAGCTATATTTTGTACCTCATTAGTTCTTGGTGAATAACTAGCAAGCAAGCTCGTAAAGGAAATGATCTCAGTTCCTTGGCTTTTGGGGCATCTTTGAAATTATTTTTTCTTGAAGAAAGGAAGTGGCTGTGGCAGCAAATTAAATAGTGGTGAGGAATGGCAAATCAGAACTCCAATGATGCACTTCTTAATCCCCCATATTCTTAGAAATAAGGACTCAGTCCTCACCATTCATTTTTAAAAGATGATGATGATGATGATGATGATGATGATTGCAACACTAATGTTTATTCTAATACATGTCTGCTCAGATTTAAGCCTCCTTAAGTTGAAATGATTTCATTCCCAGGTGAGAGTGTAGGGTTGCAAGCTGAAAGCAATTATTAATCTTACACTGACCCACTGTGAAATTTGGAAAGTAACAACTGAGTCTTGGTGTTCAGATAGCTTGGATAGTTTTTGTATGAGTATTGAACTGCTCTGTGCTTCTCACATCGTGAATAAAATCTTATTATTCATGTTGTGCAACTTTTGTTCAGATTTTTAGGTTCAGTGCTCAGGTTCCTCTTTGCTGGCCATTTTAGATATTATAATGGTTGTAATTTTGATTCTAGTTTTAAGCAAGAAGAAGAAAACTAGCTTTTCAAACAATAGACACCCACATTAATTTTATAGATAGTATGGTGTGAATCCATAGATGTGATGTCAGATTTAGAACACTGAAGCCAACACAAACATACCAACAGAGAACATTGTTCTCCCCACCCCAAAGACTTTCAATCTTTTACATGGAGATTCAATCCCAGACTCACCTCTCCAATTAGATGGAGAGGTAGTCTGGGATTGACAATGACTCAGTTCAGATGACCATCTACTATTTCTAAACTATGGTTGAGATGACTGTGAATGACTTGTGCTCACATGCTCCTCTACCATTTCCTCCTTCGGATGCAAGATATATAGAGTGAAAGCTGCTGCTTCACTTTAGAACAAGCTATCATTCTTCATTACATACAGTTTCATGGACCCAGCTGGGGCTAGATCTAGCTAAAATTAGCTAATAAATCAAGATCAAAATTCTGCCCAGATCTACCCACGATCCTTGATCAACTCTAAAAGCACTTGCTCAAATGCTTCCTCAATCTGAAGTGTGGGAAGTGTCTGGGAAGGACATGGTCTTCTCCTTAGTTACTGCCACCTGTTATGGCATGCTGTCCTTAGAGAGGCTCACCTGGCACCCATGTTTATGTTTTCCATGTCAGGCCAGGACTTTCCTGTTCACACAGGACATTTAACACATATTTTTTTAACAGCCTTTCCTTCTAAATTAGCATCTCATGAAGCATATTGATATTGTGCTCTTTGGATTTTGGCTCTTCTGAGATATTGTATGAATAACTATGTGGATTTTGGTTGTGGTTGTTGAAATCTTTTATATTATTACTATATGCAATGTCTTTTAAAATTTGTACATGATTCAGGGAATCATGCTATAGAGTGATTGACAGACAGGTATGGATGTGGATGTGGATCAGGATCAGGATCTAGAGGTATCCTGGTTTGTTTTTACTAACTTTGTTTAGAATAAACTAGTGTCCTAAGTTGGTACCTAAGGAAGAAATGCAGTTTGTTCTAAAATGAAAACTATTATTTTTACTCACTTGTAAAAGGTCAGGGAGTAGAGAACTCTTTTCTCATTACCAAAACAGTGTTTTAGAGAAGTAATCCTCAGCCCATTGTTCATGCTGACTGGGAATGATGGAACTTGCAATCTGACAAATCTTGAGCATCCAGACTGGGGAAAATTGATTTCCTGAACTGGACCAGTGAGCTAAAGAAAGTCAGACAGTGGTCGGGTTGAATATTTTGCTGGAAAGAAAGGAGTCATAAGCACCTAAAGGAGGAAAAAGAGGGTCAGCTCTGCTAAAGAGGCAGGAGTAAGCTTTTATCAGGTAGAGACCAATTCAGTATAAAGTTCAATTTGATGATCCCTTTGTAGATTAACAGTATGTATTGATTGTAGCATGAATATGACCTATGTGAAAGAAGACAAACAGCTAATAATCCTTTTAAAAAAGGAGTTCCGCATTGCTCCCTTTTTCTATTTACATAATTATATGAAGCATGGTGTTTTGAATATTGATGGGATGCTTTAAAAATGGATTTGAGCTACATTTAGACTTGCAATTCAATCTCTGTTTTGAGAAGAATGGGGTAGGTGCGTCTATAGATAAACATATCTTTTCGTTTCTCTTTCTTTCAGGTCACATGTGCAAATTTAACCAGTGGTGGAAAATCAGAACTTCTAAAAACAGGCAATTCCAAATCTACATTAAAGCACATATGGACAGAAAGCAGCAAAGATTTGTCTATCAGCCGGCTGCTATCACAGACTTTTCGTGGCAAAGAAAATGATACAGATTTGAACCTGCGGTATGATGCCCCGGAAACTTATTCTGAGCAAGATCTCTGGGATTGGCTGAGGAACTCCACGGACCTTCAAGAGCCTCGACCCAGAGCAAAGAGACGGCCCATTGTGAAGACAGGGAAGTTTAAGAAAATGTTTGGCTGGGGTGATTTTCATTCCAACATCAAGACAGTGAAGTTAAACCTGTTGATAACTGGGAAAATCGTTGATCATGGTAATGGGACGTTCAGTGTTTACTTCAGGCATAATTCGACTGGCCAAGGGAATGTATCTGTGAGCTTGGTACCCCCGACCAAAATAGTGGAGTTTGACGTGGCACAACAAACAGTGATTGATGCCAAAGATTCCAAGTCCTTCAACTGCCGCATTGAATATGAGAAGGTGGACAAGGCCACCAAGAACACGCTCTGCAACTACGACCCTTCAAAAACATGTTATCAGGAGCAGACCCAAAGTCACGTCTCATGGCTCTGCTCCAAGCCCTTTAAAGTGATCTGCATTTACATTTCCTTTTATAGTACAGATTATAAACTAGTACAGAAGGTGTGCCCTGATTACAACTATCACAGTGACACACCTTACTTCCCTTCAGGTTGAAGCAGACCATACATCTGAGACTGGACCCTGAGGAATAATTAATTAAACAATAAAACGAGTACAAAAATCAAATCAGATCAGATCAAATCAAAGAGGTCATAGGACAGGGCTGTTACCTCGAAGGAGAAGGCCACATCTATTGCCTGGAATGTGTCTACACTCTGCTGCTGATGTCAATGGGCTGCAAATATGTTAGAGGAAACCAATCTAATGTCATTTCTGCCCAGTCAGCTCCATGTATATCAGTCCAGTTGTAAATCACTATGGATTTTAAATAATGCCGCACACAATTTCTTTCTCTCACACTCTCTATCTCTTTCCTCCTCCTTGCAGTGTGCATCTATTGAGATTCCTGTTAAGAGGGCTTTCATTGTCTGATATATAATGTTTCTGGATAACCTATCATCAAGCAAAAAGGATTAACTAGACAGAGAATGGTTTCTTACACAGACTGTTATGGAAATCTCCTTTTAAGTCTTGAATACATGATAATCAATAATCCCCACTCATGCATTCTATCACTTGGAGTAGCTGTACTGGTAAATAATACTGTGTAGGAGTAAATGCTTGTTAAAATGGGGTGGGGGGAATGTGTGTGTGTCTAGAGTTCAGTATTTCTCTTTCTATGAACACAACAAAGTATAGTGACTCTTCTCCAGCACAGAGTGGGCACATTCAAGGTGGGATTAGGTGGCCCTTTTTCTGCAGAGGGAGCCTAATGAACTAATAAAGATGAGCACACATTTGGAATTTACACGTCAACAGACCGTAAGGGTTTGCATTTTGCCAGCCAGCAGTCCGGCATGGTAGAATCGACTGAGACCAGCCAAGATACGCATCAGTTACCATGTAGGAAGGAAAATGCCTGATAGATGACCTGTAAGTTGCAAGGGTCTGTCTTATCTTTATTACACAATATTGTAACAAATTCAATATCCTAGTCTTCATTTGTATGAATGGTTTGTATTGTACATAGTTTAACCCGTGTTATTTGAGCTGCTTATTAATATTAACTTGTAATTGTCTCTCTGCTTGTTATTGGTTAAAAACAAAACAAGGAAATGAGGAATCCATTTTATCAATGTAGCTGTAAACTCCATTTAAGAAGACTGAATTCTGTACAAAGCATTTATTCAGCTAAAGTATTGTTGAAAGCTATACACTTACAACATTTACAGTCTGTCTGTATTTAGATCTTTTCTTTCCAGGTGACAAAGATTGAAATGTACATAAAAATAAAATACTTAAATTCGAGTTTCAATATGCACTTGATGGTGGTTTAAATAGCACTAATGAAAGACTGAATCTCCAGTGATGATAGCCTCTTCCATCTCAGTATGCACGCTGAAGACTTCCCCTTCCACACACGTCAAATTGTGCTATGTAAACCAGGTTCTTTATCATTATATGTGTTTGTATTGCCCTGTTCACTCAAGTTTTATGATGCCTATTTTGTTTATCTTCACAACAACCCCATGAGTAAGTTGGATGGAAGCTCAAGAGGAAATGTGAATCCCAGCAGACCTGTGTGTAAGAGTAACATTTCTACTGATTTTTTAGAAAACAGAAAAGGCAGGGAATTTGAAATGTAGCCTGGGCATTCAACTTCATGTATGTGAGCATCTCTTTGTGTATGTGTATGTGTGCACACATGGACACATGTGTATCTCAGACCCCATCTAACAACCTCATCTGCCCAGCCTTTTATCTCCTGATGAATCTCCAGAGTTGGGAGTAACTCCTGCTAGAAGAAAAATAGGTAGAGATACAAAGTTTCAATATATAAGGTCAGCAGGAAAAGAATTAACATGCTGTCTTAACTTCCCGTGCCGTTCTGTAGCACAACCTGCTAGTTTCTGGTGCAAGAGCCATGCTTACGAAAGAACTAACCAAAGCTTGCTGTGCAGCCAGTGATAACCAGGTAAAAATATTAGCACATTCAGGGGGATCCATATTGTAACCTCTTGATGTTAGCAGAACTGCACATAATCCTGGTGCCTTTTGGTCTTCTGCCAGACAATGCAAAACAAACGCAATGATGGTAAAGATAGGCACACATACACAAAGCCTTGCCTATTTATCAGATAGGTAAGCCATTGTGCTTCCAGAGAACTTGTGTCAGGTACATAGTAGCCCCTTTTGTCTTGCAAATATCCCATGAGGTAGATTTGGTAAGAGGAGGGTAAATTGCCTGAAGTCTCCCAGTTCTCACAAGGTTTGAACAAGCAACTATTGTCCAAGCTGATGACTGTAACCATTGCACCTTGACTGTCCCAAGGTAAAGTTCAAACGTTTATCCACATATGTTTAACTCAGAAGAGAACTGATCCATTAAGTTAAATCCTGATAATGCAATCCAGGGAAAAAGTTAGTAAGCTCCCTGTTTATGTTTAAAAAAAAAATCCCCCCACCACCCTATATCAACTGGTAGCTTTATGTCAGGGTGGGGAACCTTAGTCCTGGAACCCAAATACAACCCTCCTGAGTTCCCAGTCTGGACGCTTGGGGTACTCTGGCCATACTCCTTTGCCCAAGATTTCTTCTTTTCTTGCAAGCCCTAGTCCCACTTCTGTATGTCTGGACACCCCCACCCATTTGCCTTTGGCCCTGCCTGTTTGTCCTTGACTGCAACCATTACTGGAATGCGGCTCCTCATTACTCCTCTGAAATTAGCTTCTGGTCTAAAAGTGGTTCAACATCACTGTTCTGTGAAAACATAAAAGAGCCATGCTGAATGAGACCAAGGCTCTATCTTTCCCAAAATTCTTTGCACACATTGGCCAATCAACCGCCCATGAGAAAGCTACAAGCAGCCCATGAGTGCAACGGCACCCTCCCAACCATGTTCCCCAGCAGCTGGTGTCACATGGGCATATTGCTTCTGCTATTGGGGTAGCATAGAGCAGTCAAGACTAGCAGTAATTTCATAGCTGCACCCTCCATGAATTTCTCCAGTGCCACCTTAAAGCTACCCGCAGTGACAGCTTTCACTACATCTTGTGGAAGTGAGTCCCATAGTTTAACTATGCACTAGTCAACTATGCACTAGTTGCACATGGTGAAGAATTATTTCCTTTATTTAATCTACCAGCATTCAGCTTCATGGGATGACCTTGGCTTCTAATACTACAAGCAAGGGAAAAATCTCTCTCTTTCCACTTTCTCCACAGCGTGTGTACTTTTGTACATCTCTGTCGTATCTCCCCTTTCTCACCGTTTTTCTAATCGGAACATTTCCAAATATTATAAGCTTTCCTTACAGCGGAGTTGCTCCAGCCCTTTGCTCGTTTTAATCTCACCTTTTTGCACTTTTTCCAGCTATGCCTTCATAGCAAAGTTAGAGTAGCCATAGTTCAAAGCTATCATGGAAAATGTCTCCCCTACTCAATGCTCTCATTCATTTATGGTGTGCTTCTCCCTGCTGATCTTAGTAGACAAAACACTTCATTTGAACACCTGGAATTTCTGCATGCATTGACAAGTTGATGTTTCTTCTAGGCCACCCTGTTCACCATCATGCCAACCACCCGGATTGGACAAATGGAGGGAAATACCTAGGGATGTCAATCTATTTGTTTTATTTCTCTGTCCTTTAAAATTTTTGAAATCTTGAGTAATTTGGGGGGACAGGGAGTCTGCCTTCTGAAATATTTTCTCTTTTTCCTTTAACCTTTATGAGACTCCTAGTTTTTTTCTAATAGCTATGTGGCAAGGTAGCGATCCCCCTTTTTTCTAGCAGCTGCCTTGTCTTTAACACCCTCATGCCATTTAGGTACATCATGTGAAGAAATCTCACTGTTCAGTTGGGCTGAGAATTTGTTCCAGCTCATTTTTATAAGAAACTTTTGATAAGTCCTGCATAATACAAAGTTCTAATCTAGACTCCTGACACAAAAAAGAGTGGCAACCCTGATGCAGAGGGATACATGTTCAGACTTTTAAGATTGAAGCACTCAAGCCCTAGATGGAAAAGTCTGTTAGCTACTGTTTTTGCCAGTGTTTCCGATTCATGTTATTTTCTCCCCAAAATGAAGAACTTTGTGAATTTTGGTAAATTCTTCTCTAAACTGACCTGAAATGGAATTGTCATCTATCCCTAGGAATATCAAAAACATCACTATTGTTCTCAAACTGCAGCCCCATTCCAGGCCTCAATCAACTGTGAGAGTAAAGAGAAAGGCTGCAACTCGTTATCTTGCGGCTGCAAACAGAAGCTTTCCATTGCTTTGGCAGCTCTGAGAAAGTACCTCTGTGTGTTCACCTGCATGTGTGAAGGGGGAAGGGGAGTGAAGTGGAAGGTGCCTCTCATTTTAATCAGGAAACAAAACAGTGCTCAACATATATCAAAAAGCTGGAAAACAGTGCTATAACAAATGCAAATTTCAGGCCATTTGCACACTGGATATCTTGTTTTCAACCTTTCCTCATTTATTTTGAAACATTTCCATAACATTGATGTGTTACAAATAATGAAGTGAGGTCAAAGAAATGCTTTTTGTAACTAAGGTCATTCCAATCATCAGGCAACTGATAATGTGGCATCCACCCCATGACTGCAATTTTATCCATATCTTCTTCCCCACTGCAATTGGTGGATTCTGCAGCAAACATTATCATTTCTACTCGCAGCCATGTCAATTCCAGACCTGGTTCTAAGGATTAGGAAAAATGATTTATTTAAGGAAAGGCTCTGAGAAGAATGATTCAGATAGGAAATGTGTTTTCTGTGTATTGAGTGAGCTCACTGTTTAACTTTCCAAATGCAGCCACATAATCAAGAAATGTTTGTTTGGGAATAATTGTTGTGTTGATGCTATTTTTGTCTTGTGTTTCAAGTTGAATGATAAACATAATAATAAGTAAGTTTTCTTATTTGATTTGTTAATACTGACTGTCCATTTACAGCAATTTGATTTCTTTTAGTAGTTCTCTTCACTTGGACTTTATTTGTCTAGGGTTATATATAAAGTGCAGCACACCAGAGTCTTGGTAGACACCAG